AGGGTCTCCATGCAAGTGAGCCGTGGGTAGTTTCTTCACTGCCCGCGGCCTGTGTTCTTTTAGTCCAAAAAGATTTGCTGAGCACCTACTGTGTACCTGGCACTATTAGTAACCACGGATGCGAAGTCCTGTCCTTGCAGAGACAGCGTTTTGTGTCCTCTAAATAAATGATTTCAAGGTTTGAGGGATGGTGGATGCATGTTGTCCAAAAATAGGGGGAGGTGGAGGAGACGGTGGGGTGAGAACGCGACTGCTGGGCACACTTCTCTCACCTGTCCTCACCTAAACCTCCCAGGGCTCCCACCTCCCTCAGAGCAAAAGCCGAAGTGTTCCCCTGGAGAACTCGCCCCTAGACTCAAACACACGGGCCTGCAGGAGGGGAGGCTGCGTAGTGGGCGTCCCAGGGACAGGAACCGCCTGGGCAAAGGCGTGGAGGTGGAACCAGGTGGGGTGTAAAATGGACCAGCGAGAGGCTGGCTTGAGTTGACCACACCCTCCTCTTCCTCACCCTCCCTGCGCTCGCCCACAATGCACTGTGGCTCCCATGCCTGTCTGTGGCAAGGGGTCGCTGCACCTTCGGCCCCGGCCCGCCCCTCCACCCTTGACCACGCCCCTCACCTTCAGCCCAGCCCCTACACTATTGGCCCCGCCTCTGCACCATTGGCCACGCCCCTGTACCATTGGCCACGCCCCTCACCCTCAGTCCAGCCCCTGCACCGCTGGCCACGCCCCTACATCAGAAGCCCCGCCCGGCACCTATGGTCACGCCCCTCATCCTCAGCCCATCCCCTGCACCATTGGCCACGCCCCCGCATCATCAGCTCCGCCTCTCTCACCTTCAGGCCCATCCCCTGCACCCCAGCCCCCACCTCCCGGCTTCCTCAGCGATGGCTGGAAGGCGGCCCCGCCCCTCCCTGGACCACTGGCACCCAGTTTCCCTGAGGACGCCCCTCTGTCACCCCCCTAGGACGTTGCCGTCCCCTGCACTCCGCACAGCACCCCCTCCCCCTGCTCCAGCCCACCCGCAGATCCATACACGCCCCTGGACATCCTCTGGGACCCTTGGACTGCGGGGCTCACGTTGAACTCTGCATTGTTCCCAAAACCTAACTCCTCCCCTCTCCCTGAGTCAGAGACTCCCTCACCTCCCTCCAGCCCTGACTCCAGCTCAGGCCTTGTGTCCCCCACCGCAGCCCGCAGCCTCCTCTCCCCACCCCACTATCACTTGCGCTGGCCTGCTCCTGCTCAAACGCCCTCCATGGCTCCTCAGTTCCCTGCAGCCTGACTCTCAAGGCGGAGCTGAGCCAAACTGCCCCGTCTCTACCCTCACCTCCTCTTGCCCCACACCCAACTTGGGCTTCAGCCATCCAGACGCCCTGCTTTTGCAATCCTTGCGCCCTCCTCTGGGAACAATGTCCCCACCTTCTCTGTTGTGACTTAGTCCCTGTTTTAAAGGGACCCTGTTTTAAAATCCTTTCCCCTTCCCTATTCCTCTCGTCCTCTCTGGTTGCTTTTTCCCCACCAAATTCTTCTTGTTTTTGTTTTCAGTTTTTTTGTAGAGATGGGGTCACTCTATTGCCAAGGCTGGTCTCCAACTCCTGGGCTCCAGTGACCCTCCCATCTCCACCTCCCAAAGTGCCGGGGTTACAGGCGTGACCCACTAAATTCTTTTAACAGACGGTGTCATTTACGTATTGTGTTCAGCGTTTCCTTCCGGCCCCTCCCTTGAATGTCCGCCCCCCCAGGGCAGGAATTTGCCTGTCTTCCCTGCCGAATCCTCAGCACCCAGAACGGTGTCAGTACACAGCAGGTGCTCAAGATGTGTTCGTGGAATGAATGAGTGATTTCCTATCCTCCACCCTCTCCTTTGACCGTGACAGCTCCCTGGGAAGGATGACCACAGAGTCTGGTTTACGGACGAGCAAACGCAGGCCCAGTGAGAGGCACCAGGGCCCGTAGCCCCACCCAGCACCTTGCCAAATTCTCACCACACCCTTGAAGTTGCTCCAGGGTCAACCTGTCTCCTAGAGGGGGAGATGGAGACTCAGAGGTCTCTGGGGGCAGCAGACCCCAACAGTGGCCAAGCAGCTTCCCTCACAGCCCTCCCGGGGCTAAAATCCCGGAATCCCAGAGGCCGGGAGGGCTGCCGTGCAAGGTTAAAAGACCCAGAGGGGGAGGCGGTGGGCAGAGGTGGCCATGCCCGGCTGCTCCGGGCGCCTCCACTCTCCCCTTGGTGTAATGGGCTTGTCGGGGCGCCCCAGGTACGCATTCCTCTCTGGGTTCTCTGCCAGGCCTTTGGGTGTGGGTCCAGGAGAAAGTGTCCTCAGGGGGGGTGATCGTGCCCGCCATGGACCCCAGGCTGACCAGGGACAGGCGTCGGGAACCCCAGGGCAGGCGGGGGCTGGCGGAGGGCTGGCTGGAAGGCACGCGCCGTTGGGCTCCGCTGTGTCCCTGATCTTCCAGCACAAGAAACCGGAAGCAATTGCCTTCGAATGCGTATTTATTGGGGTCAAAGAAGAAAGTGAGGGGTTTAAAGAGAAGCGTCACTGGTTGACAGCCACTGTGCTTGGGCCCCGTTCTAAGCATTCCCCTGCACCTTAACTATTATTACTGACCCCACTTACAGATGGGGAAACTGAGGCACGGGACCTGAGGTCACAGAGAGAGGTGAGTGAGGGTGAGTTTTAGGGGGTCTCTGGGCCTCCCACATTAACCCTCTGGGGGGTGGTTCTGGGAGGGTTTTGAGCTTTTCTCGAATTTTCAGGGATTCTTGCCTCCCTGGCTGCTGGAACCCTCTGCCACTGCTCTGGGCTGCGGGGGCCACTCCGGTGTGGGCAGTGAGGGCCGACTGTATGCCCCACTTCAGGCTGGACAGTGAGCGCCACCTGCATGCCCCACTAGTGCTGGACGCAGTGGGACCTGGAGCTGTGTCTGGGAGCTGCAGTTTCCCACCTGCAGCTGTTAACTTCCTAGTCCTCCATGCGGGCACCTGACGGACCCTGTCGAGCCAGTGGCTCTCACAGGCTGAGCAACCCGGGAAAGGTCGCTGGGCTTCTCTGTGCCTCAGTGTCTGCACCCGTCAGGCAGGGACAACAACGGTCCTCGAGTTTCGGGGAGGACACAAGGTGACATGTGCCCAAGGGCAGAGGTCAGGAATTCCTGTCGTCACCCTGTTGTTACTGATGTCACAGTGGTGCGGCACGCCTGGAACTGGCCCATTTCTCAGAGAGCATGGAGACAGCCTCAGGCCCCAGCCCATTCCTTGCCGACTCCCCTCGGTCCCCTGCGCCCCGTGGGAGGCCTGCCCTGCCTGGAACCTCACACTTCACCAGGCCCCCAGGGGGCCAGGGAGGGGCCAGCATGACTCAGGAGGGGGCGTGTCTTGGAGGAACGGAGCTCCCAGTCCTCTCTGAGCTTCGGAACCCTGACCCGCAGGCCCAGCCCAGCGTCCACGCAGAGAGGAGCAGCACACTGGGAGCCTCAACTCCTGCTGTCCCCATGGCCTGCACCACTGCCCTGGGAGCCCCAACGTTCACAGCTAAGGGGCACGGGGACCACCTGGGGTCTGATGGAGCCACCATCTGCAGATAATCAGAACCAAACCTCACCCCCAAAGAGGGCCGTGTCCTCTGTACCTGAGAGCTGCTCAGGAAAAGAAACTCCTATGACCAAGAGTATGTCTCCTCAATATATAAAGAGCCCCAACAAATCAATGACAAGTGTTTCATGAATGGAGCTATTGCCATCATTGTTGCTGTCAATTCTTTGCACTGACTAGTGTTCCAGAACAGGGAGAGCCATTCAGCTCTTCCGTGGAAAGACCCCTGCTGGGGCTTGTAGTCCAGGAGCTCTGGGTGCCAGACCCACTGCCAGGCAGCCCCAGACAAATCAGCTCCCCTCTCTGGGCCTCAGTTTGGAAAGTGGAAACACTGACCCCCACTCAGCCCACTCCTCAGGGCTGCCAGGAGCCTGGTTCTCCGGACAAGAAAGGACGGTTATTTGTTTCACAACAGGCTTGAGAAAGGGGAAGGAAATGGCCCCTGGGTGGAATCAGTCCCTGGAGCGTCAAGAGCAGCTGTCCCGAGGCTGCAACCCTGGCCCCATCCTCCTGCACTGTGTGACCTTGGGTAAGGTGCTTAACCTCTCTGGGTCTGTTTCCAAATCGGTAACCAGAGTGGGGGGCCAGAAACAACATCCACAGGTAAATGAAGTTCCACACACCTGTAGCTTCAGGTGCTCCTCGTTCCAACCCCCTTAATCCCATCTGCAGAGTCCCTGTGTCCATGTAAGGCGACATACCCCCAGGTCCCAAGGGATAGGACGGGGATGTCTCTGGAGCCATTGTTCTGACGTTGGCACTATGCTGTGCGTGGGCTGTGAGCACCCTGGGACCTGTGGGTATGTCACTTCATGTGGCAGAAGGGACTCTGCAGACGGGATTGGGTTAAGGACCCTAAGGTGGGGAGGTCACCCTGGATGACCTGGGGACCCAGTGTCAGCACCGGGTCCTCCCACGAGGAGGCAGGAGGGTCGGAGGCAGAGAGACTGGCGGATGCCATGCTGCTGGCTCCGAAGGGGGAGGACGGGGGAAACCGAGGCGTGAGGGGCATGGGGCTCGCCCGGGGCCACGCAGCGGGTGAGAGGCAGGGTGGGGCTGGAGGGCTGGCGCCTGCAGCTGGAGAGGCAGCTGCACCACTCCCGCCAAGCGTGACTGTGTGCCGGGCCGTGTGAAAGCTCCCTGCGCACGTCCGGGCCGGGTAAACTGAGGCACGGAGTGGTGAGGTCATACGGCGGCCCAGGACCCCCACTCTCACCTCCATGGCCTGCTTCTTGGCCCCTCGTGCAGTTATAATCGTCATCAGTCACAAGCTGAGACTGCCGGGGCGTCCGTTTCCCAGAACCCCCTGGCCCGACCACAGCCCACAGCCCACAGCCCGGCTCCTCCTTCCGGGCCGTTGGGGGAGAGTGGGGGCCGTGGCCGCCAGCAGAACCCGCCTGCCATGGCCATGGGAATGGGGGGCTGGGGCCGCCCGCTGCTGGCTGTGGCCGCTGCTCTGACGCTGCCTGCGAAGGTCCCGGGTGAGGAGCCCCCGGGACCCCACTTGGGCCGCCCTTGGCATCCTGCCCGAGCCCCGGTCAGACCCCTACACAGAGTGCCCCAAGAACCCTCAGGCGGGAACCCCAACACACCCTGCTGCTTAGCCTCCTGGGCGGCTGCCCCGCTCCGGCCTCAGCTGGAAACGAGGGACCCCCACTCCCGGCACAAGGGGTCTCGTCTGGGCTCTGGCCGTAGCCGCCTCTGGTCTCTTCCCACTACATCTCTGTCTGTCTCGGCCTCTTTCTCCCCCTGCCTGGCCCCCACCCCATCCAGTCCTGGTCCCTGACTCGGGCTGTCCACCCCCATAGGCTCCTGGGGGGCCCAGATCATTGGGGGCCAAGAGGTGGTCCCCCACTCCCGGCCCTACATGGCGTCCGTGCGCTTTGGCGGCCAGCACCACTGCGGGGGCTTCCTGCTCCGGGTGAGCTGGGTGGTCTCCGCCGCCCACTGCTTCAGCCACAGGTGAGCCTCACCTTTCGGGACCCTTCTTTGGGTGAGCTGGGGCATGGGCAGGGCGGGGTGGACCCCACCCCTCACCTGGCGGAGGGGCAGCCGGAGGGGGCGTCTCAGCGGGTTGTAGCAAGTGACAGGAGAAAGTGGGAGAAGTTCGTAAGATGCAACAGCCGTGACAACGATTAAACATTCTGTTAGGATGGTCGTTTCAAGTATGTCATATATTGTGATGACTACTGACATGAATATTGAAATTATCGTAGTTAATATAATTGAGGTGGGACATGTAATAAGTATACTAAGTGTTATGTGCATTCTCAGTATATTTTTATAACAATGATTCAAGCTAATATTGCCGCTGTTGGCGCTAACAGTGTCATTGACATGGGGATGGTAGTCCGCGTGGTGGTTATCACGTGGGGCCAGCGGGGGCAGCCACCGGATCACTGCACCGATGGGCAACCCCAGTCCCGCCCGCCCTCCCCTCCCTGCAGAGACCCCCGGAAGGGCCTGGTGGTGCTGGGGTCCCACGCCCTGAGCGCCGCGGAGCCCACGCAGCAGGTGTTCGGCATCGCGGCTGTGGTCAGGCACCCCGACTACCACCCCACGACCCACGCCAACGACATCTGTCTGCTGCGGGTGAGCCCCGGGGCTGGCGGTGGGTCTGGCCCGTCCCCAGCCACTCAGGACGATCTGACTTCTGTTTTAAAAACAGCTGGAGGGACCCTGTGAACTCCCAAGTCAAGCCACATCCCTCCTCTGCCCAGAACCCTCCATGGCTCCCACCTCCCTCGAGACAAAAGCCAAAGTCCTCCTGGCACCCACGGGCCCTGCTCATGTGTCCCTGTCACCTCCTACACTCTCTCATTTGTCACCATTGCACTGGCTATGCCCCCGCCCAGAGCACCATTCCCCCAGATGCCACAAGGCTCTGCTTAAATGTCACCACCTCGGGAGCCTCCCCTGGCCACACAGCCCCGTCCTGCCCCTGCCCCCGCCAACTCCTGTAACATCTGCTCCTCCTCTGGTCGTTGTCCACCACCTCCTCTGGACCCAAGGGCCTCTGGGTGGCATTTATGGCCATTTATGACACACAGCAGGTGCCCAATATTTGTGCTGGAAGAGGGAAGGGAGCATCTAGGGCCACTGTTAGACCCAGGTCTCTGCCCCACACCCCAGGAGTTTTCGGGGTGGGAAGTTGCACTGCCCCTCCATGTGAGTTTCGCTCTCTGCCCACGTGTGGTGCTTCCATGTGACCCTGCATGGCCCCCTCCTGCTCCAGGGGACCACCCCTTCCCTGTGGAAGCTTGGTAAATAGCATTGGCAGGGGCACATGGTAGTCCAGAGGAGGCTGGTGTCTTAGCCTGGGAGTCTGGGAGGGCTTCCTGGGGGAGGTGATACCTAAGCTGAGATATCCCCTGAAGGCTGAACAGGAAGGGTGCTCAGGGCAGGGGTACCGGGAGAGCAAAGGTTGGAGGTGGGTCAGGGGCTGGCAGCAAACCATTCTGGTACAGGAGAGGGAGGCTGGAGGGGCTGGGGGCCTAGACTGGCAGGCCAAGAGGCTTTGTCCCAGGGCAATGGGGAGCCAAGGGAAGGCTTAGAGTAGGCAAGGAGATGGGGTTTGGAAGCTCCTTTGGGCAGCTGAGGGGGTGAGACTGGCGGGCTGGAGGCTGGGGCAGGCCTGACGGGCTAGGGGCTTACAGTGGCAGAAGGAGCAGGCATCCTGCTGAGCCGCAGGGCAGCTGCCACCGATTTCTCTCTCACAGGCCACGACCAGGGGTCACAGACGGGTAGACTGAGACAGCAGCAGGGGAAGGTGGGTGGGTGGCGGGGCAGCAGGGAGTGGCCCTGAACGCACACTTTCCCTGCAGCTGAACAGCTCTGCTGTCCTGGGCCCTGCCGTGGGGCTTCTGGGGCTGCCAAGGCGAGGCGCCAGGCCACCCAAGGCTGGGACACGGTGTCGGGTGGCTGGATGGGGCTTCGTGTCGGACTTCGAGGAGCTGCCGCCCGGGCTGATGGAGGCCGAGGTCCGAGTGCTGGGCCTGGACATCTGCAACAGCTCCTGGAAGGGCCAGCTGAGCCCTGCCATGCTCTGCACCCACAGTGGGGACCGCCAGAGGCGGGGCTTCTGCTCGGTAAGATCCTCTGCCCCACCCACTCACCGTATGGGTACAGGGCACACCGAGGCCCACAGAGAGAGTCAGACTCAGGCAGGGCCTTGGGAACTGAATCCCACTGATGTTTGACCAGAGAGAGAAGCTGAGGCCCAGGAAGGGCAGGGAGTTGATCACACAGGGCTGCCATGTTCAGCTGGGCAGGTTGTGCACTGCATAAAGTGCCACAGACTTGTGTCTTTATACAAGTAGTGTTCAGTAGGGGGCAGTAATGGATCTGAAGGAAGCAGTTCCTGCTCCTAAGACCTCGTGCATTGTATGAAGCTGTGCTGCCGCTGAGGAAGACACTCAGCCGGGAGCGTCTTTTGTCTCACTCCAGAGAGTGACATGGTTCAGAACACAGACTCTAGAGTCCAACAGCCTGAGTCCAATCCAGACTATGCCACTTCCCAGATGTATGGAAAAGTATTGGAAAAGTCACCTCATTTCTCTGGGGCCTGCTATCTCCACCTGTGAAACTGCCACATTCACAGCACCTGCTCGGTAGGGTCAGAGCTGATTCCAACGGCAGTCAGGAGGGCTGCACAGGGCGTCAGGGGTTTTAGGGTGAGTATTCAGGGAGCCCTCTCTGAGGACAGAACCTTCGAGCTGAGACTTGAAGGAGTCCTGGGGAGATGTGAGGAACGGCATGCCAGCAGAGACCAGTCAGAGGTCGGCTGTATGCAGCTGTGGCTGCGCAGGTTGTGCACTGCAGCCTTGTGTATTTTTTTATACAAGCAGTGGCCAGTAGAGGGCAGTAACAGGTCCCTGGCTGGAACCAAGGGAGTTAGGGGGAGAGTAGGGCAGAGAAGTGGGTGCAGGCTGGATTCTCAGGGCCTGAAAGGCAGAGGTGAGTTTAGTTTTTGCTTTAAGAGCACCAGGGAGCCATAGAAGTGTTTTGAGGCAGGGAGGGCTGTGATCTTATTTACCTGTAGACACTCCTTCCAGGAAAGTGACCCCAGAGAGGAGACCCTAACCTTTTCTTTCCCTTCACCCCAGGCAGACTCCGGGGGTCCCCTGGTGTGCAGGAACCGGGCCCATGGCCTTGTCTCCTTCTCAGGCCTCTGGTGCGGTGACCCCAAGACCCCTGATGTGTACACGCAGATGTCTGCCTTTGTGGCCTGGATCTGGGACGTGGTTCGGCGAGGCAGCCCCCAGCCCAGCCCTGTGCCTGGGACCACCAGGCCCCCAGCAGGAGCTGCCTGAACCACAGACTCGCTGGGTATACGGGCCTGGAATATTCCACGGCAGCTGCGGCAGGGCGTCTGTGGGGAAGCCTGGTGTGCAGGGTGTGGGTGGGCTGAATTGCACCAAGTAAAATGTTGACCAACTAACCAGAAACTACGGACACCGTCCTCAACTGTGGTCAGCTCCAGGGTCCACCCGCACTCCTGCCCACGTCTCCTTTCCCCTGGCCCTTTTCCACCCTCCTGTTCCCCCCACCACGAACCCCCCGGATTTGCACTCCCCCCTCACAGCTCACACTCTGGCCAGCCTCTGGCCTCGGCCCCTGCAGTACCCCCGGCCTGGGGTCCCCATCCTCCACCACCCTCCAGCAGGGGAACTCCAAGTTCCCTGAGCAGGGGGCAGGGGGACTGTTGAGTCACCAGCATGGGGTCGCCCCATCCCCTTCGTGGAATCCCAAGTTGGCCTGGCCTCTGTCAAGCCTGTGCCCCTCCTCTGAAAGCAGTTTAGAATGGCACCGGTGCACCACAAGTCCCTGCTGATGTTACCAGCACAGGGTGTCGGTAAGGCGTTACCACGATGGCTCCTGCTGCGCCCCAGTCCTTCAACGCCAGGCCTCCACTTCTGGCCCCCAAGCCAGCTGGCTTCTTGGGGCTGCCCTAAGCCCCCCTCCCTTTAAAGGCCTTTTATCTCTCCCTCCCTGGCTGTTGTCCACTGCCTGGCGGTGGACTCTGAGGCCCAGAGGTAGGTGGTGGCCACCCCAAGGACATCCACCTCTGCCTCTTCTCTGGGTGTTTTCAGAGGCCCCACTTGACACCCCAACAGCATCCCCAGAAGCAAACTCAGGCCTGGACACCCCGAAGTGGGTTTCTCAGTTTTTATTTCTTTGGTGAGGCAGGACCCCAGGGTGGGGGGAAGGCTGCCTTGTCTGGTGGCCCAGGCAGACCCCCCTGCTCAAGGACACTTTTCTGGGCATCACAGGTAAGGCACTACCTGGGGGCTGGAGAAGGAGAAGCAGAACTCCCCCAGACTCCCCACCCCAAACTTGGGGAGCTCGATGTCTTCCCCGTTGCTCCCCACCCCATCTGGTCTGAGCCTTTGGTCTACATGCAGGCACAGGTAGGTGATTTTGAATGTCAGCCCAGACTGTGTGGAGGGTGAGCAGTTTTGGGGGAAATTGACCCAAGACCAGCACCACCCCCTGCCAGGCTGGTGGGTCAGGAGGGTCTAGCTGGCAACTGTGTGTAGAGGCCTGGCCAGGACAGGCCATGCAGGACCAAGGGGTCCTGTGTCTGAACCCCCAATGTGGAAGGCAGGCAGCAGGGGTGTGCAGGGACACCTGGCTCCAGGGTGCCAGGCACGCAGTGTGTCCTGGAGTTAGCATCGACACCCCACCCTGGGCTGGTGGGTGAGCAGAGGCTCCAGGTCCTGGCCAGGTTCCACTCTAGTGGACTGGGCCCCAGTGTGCACAGTGCCCTGCTCTGAGCTGCTGCTGGCCACCCCACGTCTGGGGCCACGAGATGTTGCTAAGTGAACCCACGTGAATGGCAGCTGAGGAGGGCTGGGTCATTCTGTGTTGGGTGGCACAGATGGCCCCTCTCCCAGAGGACACACTGGGTGTTTCCCAGTGGCCCTCAGAAGACGTGAAGGGGTAAATGGAGGTGACCGGAGGACGAGAACCTGGGTTCTTGGGCGGTAGGGAACAGTGGCTGCTTTCTTGGACTTTATAAAGGGCACATCCCACTGGGCCAAGATCACCGTGTTCCGAGGCTAGACCTCTCCCTCTCCTCCTGGCCTGAGCCGGACGTCCCTCATGGCCGGGCTAGGAGAGCAAGTTGTGCCTCTTGTGAATCACCAGCAGGGAGTCCCCAGCCCTCCCGTGGCAATAACTAACCGGCTTATCCCCAAAGGAGCAGAAACGTGGGTCTTCCCAGGCAGAAGGGTGCCTGGGGTGGGGGCTGGGGAGGCTTCCCAGAGAAGTCCCCGGAAGCTGACCCCAGTGCCGGGGCTCTGAGTCCCAGCCTCCTTCCCTCAATCCTTGCAGGGTGCCCACGTGGTCCCCGTCCAGGCTCCAGGGAGTGTCCGCGGGACATAAATTAGACTCTGCTGTGGCAATAAATAAAAACGGGGGCGGCCTCGGACGCCAGGCCCAGGTGCGCCCTGCAGGCTCACACGAAGTTCTCCTCCTCTTCCTCCGACTCGGCACCCGGAGGCTCCCGGGATGTGCCTGCAAGCGAGGGGGGCACGGTCAGCACACTGCGGGCCCCCCGCAGCCCGAGCCCCCGCCCTGCGCCCGCACCTGTGCAGCTGCCCGGGTGGCGCACGCCGATGGAGCGGCCCAGGAAGCAGGTGGCCTGGCGCAGGTGGCACGAGGAGACGTAGGTGACGTTGTTGTTGCCGCAGAGCTCCTGGCCGGGGCCAGAGGGCGCGGGGCAGGGCGCCGCGCGACACACCACGCAGTGCGCGCTGCCCGTCTGGTCCACCACGCACGACTGCGGCCGCGGGCACACCACATGGGCGCAGGACTCTGCGGGCAGGCGGCGGGCGCGCGTCAGGGGACTCTTCCCTGCCCCTCTTCCCTGCGCGAGCCGCCCCACCTCGCCCCGCGGGGCTCCACCGCGAGCCCCGCCCCCCGTTGTAGTAGGAGCCACACCCCTCCACGAGCCCCGCCCGCTGAGCGCGCTCCCTGGCGGACCCGCTACACTTCTCTGTGACCCTGTGAGCCCCAGAGGCCCCTTACCAAACCCCTCCCCACTCTTCCTAACTTCCGACCCCTCCTCAGTCCCCGCCCCACAAAAGACGCAATCCGGTGACACACCGTCGTGCGGAGGCTCCGCCCAGACCCAGCGTGCCACCCAGACCCCGCCCACCATAAGTCCCGTCTAACCCACGTGACCTATACAGGTCTGCAGGCTCCGCCCCCACGTACTGTGGCAGAGGCCCAGGTGCACGACGCCAGGTAAGCTGGCTCCATCCCTCCCTCTGACTCCGCCCCCACACGCTGTGGCAGCGGCTCAGGTGCATGTCGTCAGGTCCTCCGGCTCCGCCCCTCCCTCGGACCCCGCCCCCACGTACTACGGCAGCGGCCTGAGTACATGACGACAGGTCCGCCGGCCCCGCCCACGCGTACTGCGGCAATGGCCCTTGTGCGTGACGTCAGGTGCGCTGGCCCCGCCCCCAATCACTGTGGCAGCGGCGCCGGTGCATGACGTCAGGACAGCCGGCCACGCCCCTTCCTCGGGCTCCGCCCCGGCCCTACCCCCACGTACTGCGGCAGCGGCCCCGGTACATGACGCGCAGGTCCGGGTGTCCGCGGCAGCGCGCGGCGCGCAGCTCGCACTCGTTGCGGTAGGTGGCGCCATCCGAGCCGCAGACCTGCAGGCGCACCGGTAGTCCCGCGCAGTCGGGCGCGCACTCACAGCGCGGGCGGCCGCCGAGCATGCGGCATGCCTTGCCCGGGCCGCACTCTACGCCGTCGCACGAGTCTGCGGGCACAGGACACAGCGTGGGGCGGTGCTCGGGCCCGCGCACTGCCGCCCAGTGTGCGGGGCGGGGCGGGCCTGGTCTGGGGGCGCCGTCTGGGGTCCGGGGGTGGGGCCTGGGGATGGAGGCGCTGTCAGAGGTCAGGGTCCGGGGGACGGGGCCCGTGGTGAGGGCGCCGTCCGAGGTCTGGGATCCGGCGGCCAGGGCGCCGTCTGGGTCCAGGGTGGGCCAGGAGTCTGCGTGTGGGAGCCGGCGGGGGCGGGGCTCGGTCGGGAGCCCGGGTCACTGTGGGCTGGCGGGGGCCTCTTCCGGACCTGGGGGTCCGGGAACAACCGGGTCTTCCCAGGCCCATTTCCTCTGTTCCTCGCAGCTGCGTCAGCCTGGGGGTGGGGGGGCCCTACGCCTGGGTCTGGGCCAGGACCTCCCTGGAGAAGGCATCGGTGAGGGCGGGACTTAGGGGGCCTCCCCCAGCCCTAGCCCTCAGCAGCCCCATTTCTCAGGGAAACTGAGGCACAGCTAGGGGAAGCCTCTCTCTGGGGTCCCCGCCCCCACTTTCAGTGTGCTGCTCGTGGCCTCGCAGGCCCTCCTGGGCTCTCTGCTGCATCCTCCCAAGTCGTCCTTTTACAGGCGGCAAAAATGGGGCCTGATCACAGCTGTGAGTGTAGGGGGGCCAGGGGCACCTCCCCTTCAGAGCTCCAGCCAGACCCCGGGTGACAGCCCCTGCCCCCAAGTCCCATTGCTTGCAAGTCTGGAGGGAGCCTCTGGACACCAAGTCTTGAGTTTGTGCTGCAGCCTCAGTTTCCCTGTGCACAGAGCAGAGCTGATGGGGGACCCCATCGCACAGGCTGAGCAGACATCCCTGAGGGTGGCCGGCGCCCCCCACGGAGGCCCTGCCAGGGCATGTGGGCCGCACCTGGGGCCTCCCACGCAGCGGCCCACACGCACATCTGGAAACGCTCTGCCGGGTGGCTTCACGCGAGGGAGAGCGGAAGTGGAGGGCTGAGTCCCCATCCCCAGGGCCAGATGGGGGAGGAGGGGTCTCTGGGCCACCTCACGCCCAGGCCAGGCACTTTTTGAAGTATGTCTTCCTCCCAGAAGCCAGAGGGGGGTCTAGAGGGAGCAGGAGTATGTAGCAGTAAGTTCAGGACCACCCTGCCAGGCTGATCTGGGATTAATAACATCTCACAGGCTTGGGCAGGTCTGCACCCCTTTCCTCCAGCCTCCTGCCTGACCCCACCCCCAGGCCTTGGTTTCTTCTGGTGTGCTCTCCCATACCTTCTCCATCTGGCAGACTCCTAATCATCCCCCAACGCCCCGGCTCTCATGCCCACCTCCTTCAAATTGTGTCCTAGTGCTCTCTCTGGGCCCCTGCAGGTTCAGCCCTGAACACAGGGGGCTAGGAGGGTCCCCCAACCCATCCTCCAGGCCAAGAATATGTCTTGACTCGTTCATTCTACCCTCAAAGACCTCCTAGTCTGACGTGGGAGGCAGCATTTCTCAGAACAAGATCTGGAAGGCACATGCTTGTTAAACATGTAGCTGCGATTGCATCACAGACCCCTAAAATTTGTGGCCTTAAGGGCCCTGGTGTGGACGTTTGGGAACACTGAGTGTGGAGTCACAAGCCAGATGGCCAGTCAGGGACATCCCCTTCCCTGGAGTTAGGTGTGAGCCAATGGGGTGCAGGTGGGATTGGGCCTGAGCAAAGGCCTGGAGTCTGGAAACCAGGCCACTAGAGCGTTTCCCTGGATGTTAACTGCAGGAGGCGGAAGCCTGACAGCATGGGATTCCCCCAGCTCCTCTCTGAGGCTGGGGTCCCCTCCACGAACCCCTGCATGACGGAGCACTCGCTCCAGATGCTCCACCTTGGACCACAGTGATTGCTTTTGCTGGTCCGGAGCTGGACATGCTCGCCTGCCTCTGGCCTGTGGCCAACGCCCTGGGTCTCACCTTTGCAGGGCAGGCAGTGGACGAGGCCCAGGAAGCCAAGGAGGCTGATCTTGTTCCCCGGGTGGGTGAAGTTGGACCAGGCAGTGTCGATGCTGCCAGAGGCACAGCACTCAGCCTGGCTTACATCGGTCCTGAGCACCAGGCTGCAGGTCGCCTCGCGGCCCTGCTGGAGCCAGCACACACCACCTGCAGGCAAGGAGCACGGTTCCTGTGGGTCTGGGCTGGCGGTGCCACTCCTGTGCCACTCCTGACCCAGCCTCTAGCCCGTGGGGAGGCATGCAGGGCTGAGTAGCAGACGGGATGATGTACCCCCACCCAGGAAGGAGGGACAGAGAGCCACACTGGTGTTCCTTCCCTGGCTCTGGATCCCTTGGGGATCCCTCCTCTGCTCTGAGTTCCACACCCCCCCAGTGCTTTTCCACCACCGCACACCCAGCCCGGAGACCTCCCCCCGACCCCGTTCTTCCAAGCCCCCAGCCAGAGGCTGGCATCTTGCCCAACCCCTCAAACACCACAAACACCGTATGCTGGGCACGTCAGCGTCAGTGGGCCCTGGAGCTGCCTCTCCCGCCTCTGCCCTCTGTCTAGACAGCACCCGAGGGCGAGGGCATGCGAGCCCCCTCGCCTGGCAGGCCCCCCCCTCGCCTGGCCTGCCTCTTACTCACTCGACTTGGGAACATTCCCCTTGCATGAGCTCACTGTCTCCCCGGGGACGTGGCCTTCGGGGAGGGGGCTCCGCTCTCCCTTTGGCTCGGGGCTTGGGTGGGGTGGGGTGCGGTGTGGCTGCCGGGGTGGAGGGGTGGGTAGGCAGACAGCTCTCAGTTTCCCCACCCGTCCATGGGGACAGGAATGGCCACAGCCCCCATCCCAGAGCTGTCACTGGCTCTCAGACTCGGCTGAGCACCTTCTGGGGACCAGCTCTGGGCATCCAGCGCCTCCGCACCCCTCTTACAAGAGAAGAAACTGAGGCCAGGAGTAGGGGTGTAACTTGCCCGCACTTGCCAGAAAGTCCCAGGTGGGGACTCCAGTGCCCCATCTACCTAAGCCAGACCTGGGGAAGATCCAAGACCCCTCTCTAGGGGCAGCAGGACCCACCCACAAGGTCTCGGTTGGAATCTGGGCTTTGCCCCTCACGGGCTGTGTGACACTGAGCCTCAGTTTCCCCATCCGGAAAAACGGACATGATAGGACTACCCATACTGATGGGTGGTTGTGTGGGAGGGGAGAGGTAGACACTAAGCGCTCAATAAATGTCAGCAGTCATTGCAGTTACTAACCTCTGCTGACCTCCCGGTGACCCTCCCTCTGGCCCGCTGGCGTTGGGGGAGGGGAGCCCCAAGCCCCGCCGCCCACCCGCCCCCGGCGGCCGCCGCGCCCCGCCTCGCCCCCAGCCGCGCCCCCCGACATCGCCCCGGGCACATTCCCGGCAGGCCCACGTGGGTGGCGCGCCCCGTCCGCCCCTTCCGGCAGCCCCACTCACCGGGCGAGGGGTCCCCCGAGCCCACGGAGCCCACGAAGCCCACGGCCCAAGCCAGGGCCCCCCAGGGCAGCGGCCAGAGTGGCCCCGGCGCCCCGGGACGCATGGCGAAGGCAGAGACCACGGAGGCCCGCGTCGGACGCGCGGGCGGGCGGGCGGCGGCCCCGACTTCCCAGCGCGCCGCCCTATAAAGGTCCCGCTGGCTGCGGGCGGGGCGGGGCCGGCGGGGCGGGGCGCGGCGCGTGAGTGGCGGGGCGCGAGGCCGGTCCCGCGCGACGTGTGCGGGGGCTGGGCCCGGCCACGCGAGGCTGGCGGCTGGCGGGGGCCGGGGTCGCATCCGGGAGCCGGAGCGTTGAGCTGGGTCTGTGGCAGGCCCCAGGGGTGACCGTGGGTGTGAGTTCCAGGTGGAGCCGGCCTTGCGGGGGTCGAGGCGGTGCCTTGAGGTGTCAGGGTGGGTTTGGGGGTCTTTGGTTGTCTTTGGTGGTAGGGTGGCGGCTGTGAGCTAACCGTGACCCACCAGGAGCCCGTCTGTGGATCTGTGTGTTGTGTTGTGGTCACTTTCATGGCCCGAGTGGCCTGGGTGGCCAAGTCGTCCTCCTCTGGCCCTCCACACCCCACAGCCCCGACCTGGCTGGAACGCTTTTCTGCTCACACCCGCAGGCCACCCACCCATCCACCTGGCTGGAGCCTGGGTAGGGGGAAGTTGGGTGGGACCCAGGCGGTAGGGAGAGGCCCAGCGACTTCCAGCACAGCATGGACAACAGCAGTCCTCGCTCCAGACACGGCTTCTCGGGGGCCCACTGTGTGCCTGGCCTTTGCCCTTTGACCCCTGGGAGGCTGTGCACCAAGCCCTTCAAACCTTTGCAGGTGGTGCCCCCAGCTCACACCAACAGGAATGCATCAGTTGGTGGTTTGCTAGGTTTTTTCCTCCTCTCCCCTCTGAGACTCAGCAGACACTCGGTGTCTGTGCAGCCCGTGGCCACCCTGGAATCCCGGTTGCCCAAGCAGAGGCGTTTCCCACAATTTATGACAGCGGCGTGGGCCTGGGACGCCGGGGCTTTGGTGCAGCTGGCCGCTTTTTCCGCTTTGGAGCTGGTCCCTTCTCTCTTGGGGACCTCCAGAATTGTCAAGACACCACGGATGTGCTGTGGGTTCAGCGGAGTCCCCTCCTCTGCGTTCATGCTTCTAAGGAATAATTAGCCAACATCTCTTGGTGGCAGGAATGGCGACAAGGCAGGGTGCTGGGGTACCACAGTGACCAAGGCAGACCTGCCCCCACCAAGCTGGTGGTTTGGAGGGGCCATAGACAACGAGATGTGTAGACAAATTAATCCATAACTTCAAAGAGTGGTAAATGCTTTCAGGAACATAAGGTTGCGGTCAGGGGGAGCAAGTGAGTATCTCCAGGGGGTGCCTGTGCCTGGTCACCCCTATTCCTGCATCACCTTGGGGTGATGATGGGGAAGCTGAGGCTCCCTGGAGCAAGGCAGCACAGCGCCTCCTCTTCCACCAGTAGAAGCCACACCTGGACCCTTCCTCAATCTCAGCTGCCCAGCCTGACCCGTGTCGCCCAGCCAGGGGCCAAGTTGCTGCCCTCGTGGCACTGAGGGAGGACACCCCTGTCTTGACCTGGCCTTGGCCCCTGGCAGTCCCCGGGGATTCTCCCTGGGTTGGGGACTAAGGCAGGGACGGGACCCTGTGTTCTCCCAAGGGTGTGCCCCGGCTGGACACTGTGACCTTGGCCGAGACCTGACCTTGCCATGGCTTAGACACTCTGGCCCAGGCTGTGCAAATCAAAGGGACATTGTCTGGCTGGCGTGGGTTCGGGGCCTCTCCGGGGAAACCGAGGCCAGCTGCCAATGGCCTCCTGCTCCCGGGTTCGGTGTTCCTCCCTAAACCAGAGGCCATGTGCTGGGCGACCTCAAGCAAGTCACTGACCCTTTCTGGGGAGCCCCCCTCTTCCCAGTGACAGCCTCCTCCCCGCTTCCTGACCCTGCTTTCCTCTTCAGCCTGACACAGCCTCAGCCTCACCCCGGCAGCTCACTTCCTGCCTCAGCTGCTGTAAGACTCCTCCCCAGCTCAAACGCCCACCATGACTCCCCTCGGCCTCTGCCGTCAGGCTGCTTCTCCCCTGTCAGATCCCAACAGGTAAACAGGCAGTGAGACTTGAATGTTGCACTGGATGTCAGGGGTGTGCTGGGAGCCAAAGTGACAGGATGTTTGTGCTGCAAGTGAGAGAAAGTGCAGCTCCAGGGCGTTTGGCAGAATAACAGCCCCAGAGAAGGCCAGGCTAATCCCTGGAACCTGTGGGTTTGTCACCCTCCGTGGCTAAAGGGGACTCTGCAGATAGGATTGAGTTAAGGATTTTCAGATGGGAGGTCACCCTGGATGACCCGGGGGCCCAGTGTCAGCACAGCGTCCTCACACGAGGGGGTAATAGGGTCGGAGGCAGAGAGACTGGAAGACGCTGCGCTGCTGGCTCTGAAGGGGCAGGAAGGGCGCGAGCCAAGGGGTGCAGGCGGCTGCTAGACGCCGGGAGAGGAACAGGATAGACCCTCCCCAGGAGGCACACAGCTTTGCCTCGATTTCCCCCAGCGAGATGTAAGTTGGGCTTCTGACCTCCAGACCTATAAGAGAAAAAAACCTGTGCCAGGCATAGTGGCGCCTTGTTGTAGTCCCAGCAACTCGGGAGGTGGAGGCGGGAGGATCGCTCAAGCCCAGGGGTTCCGGTCCAGCCTGGGAAACATAGCGAGACCCTATCTCAAAAAACAAAAACAAAACAAAACAACAACTTGTATTGTTTTAAGCCACCCAGTTTGTGCCAACCTGTTGCAGCAGAAATAGGCAACCAGTACATAAGCACCCCATGTGCCAGGCCCTGTGACCTCTCTGGGCCTCTGTTTCCTTGTCTGTCAAAGGGGCACAGACCTTGGTTCTACAGATTCCAGCCAGGATGTGGAGGACAGGGCCTGGCACATGGTGGGCTATGACTTGCATGCGCGGATTCTCACTGTGTAACAGGTGGTGGCCCAGGGTGGGTGTACGAGGAGTCTTCTTGGCTGCCCGCTGTGATGCTGTGAGGCTGGAGGACAGGAAGTAACTTTCTCAGGGTCACATAGCCCCACAGTATTGGGACTCAGTACCAGGTCAGCAAGGTTCCAGGGCGTGCGCGCTGAGCAGTGGGGTAGGGCCCTGCCTTCTCTGGACTGGACAATGAAGGCAGCCGCTGCTTGTGGCTGGCGTCCCTCCTTCTGGTCCCAGCACCACATATTTCTTTGGAGAATCACCTCCTACACTTCAGCCCTTGTGACCCCAGGAGCAGGCACTGACCCAGGCCTGCCGGCCAATTAGTGAAGATCATCTGACACGCCGCAAAATAGAAGGAATGGGCTCTGGGACTTTTTTGAGGAAAGGGCCACCCCCTTCCTGCCTGGGCTGGAAGGGTGTGAGCCTGAAGCTGCAGTGGACTCTTGCTGAGGGCCAGGGAGAGGCCAACCCAGTGCAACACAGAGCCAAGAGGGGCAGCAGCAATTCCCTGTGATGTTGGAGTTCCCTGGATCCAGCCATGCCTGAACTCCTCTCCCCAGTGAGAGGAAGCCGATTTAAATTGAGTTTCTGTCACTTGGAGTGGGCAAAACAACCTTTCCAATAAGCCAGTTTTGTTCAAGCAGAGCTTGTAGGACCCAGAGCAGCAGCAGGTTCTACAGGGGCCACAGGAATCACACCCCAATGTGCCAACCTCTGCCTCCAGGATGTGGGTCGTGGCTTGGTACAGAACCCTCAGGGTCACCTGGTCCCACATCCCTTGAGCCAGAAGATATGTGGTGGACTCCACATCATTATTGCCTGTTGTCTAGAACCTGAAACCTCTGGGCTCCAGGCAGCACGGCCCTGCTGGTGCTCCGATGGAGCCCGTGATGCTGAAAAACACCGCAGAGCCTGAGGACTTGGCGTGGGAGAGGACACGGGAGCACCCTGAAGACAGCTGGGCCTGATAATACCCCATCAGTTGTACCTTTCCCAGCTCAAACACCACCCATGGCTCCCCAAGGCCGTAGGACTCAGTTCAGGTTTGTTGGCCTGGGTTCTGGAGCCCTCTCCACAGCACGGCTCTTCCACGCTGGCCCCGGGGAATCCCCACCCCACAGCTGGCTGCTCCCTTTGCCTGACAGGGGACCTGCTTTTGTGTGGGTATCAGGCAGCCCAGCATGTAACAGAAGGCAGGGCTCTGCTTCAGCCCCAGAGGTAGATACTGATTGGACGAAAAGGGCCACAGTGATGTCAGTCATTCCTCCTGCTGGTCATTGGTTTAGGTTCAGCCATGGGGCCCAGCTCTGTCCCGCTGGCAGCAGCAACAAGGTAGCCACCCTGGTCACAAATGGACACCTGAGGGCCCCAGAACCTCAGGGCCATGGGTCATACACAGGCACTGGCCTGAGCACTTGGGTCCCTACGCCACAGTCTGAGGCTCAGCCTGGGGTGGCCAGCAGGTGAGGTGCCCAGGACCAGAGGCCCAGTGATGGGGGCTCCCCCATGAAGGGGATTGGCACAGCCTCCTACGAAGCAGGGGAAAGAGAAAGGAGTGTGGGAAGGGTACCTCCAGCAGAGGGCATTGCTGTGCAAAGGCCCTGAGATAAGAAGCTACATGGCCCACCCAAGGGGCCAGTGGGGACCAAGGAGGTGCCCAGGGTACTCATGTCTGCCCCAAGCCTGATCCAACCTAAAACTCTGGGAGACAGGTTCTGCCACCTGCTCAGAAAGGTTAAGCAACTTGCCCAGGGTTGCACAGACAGCATGTGGTTTGGTGGGATTTGAACCCAGGCCTGCTGCTCCAAGGCCTCCTAACTACCGTAGTCTGCCGCATGCACCTCATGAATTTCTGCAGAATGAATGTCTACGAAGGGGCTGAGCCTGAGAGGCCTGGTTTTGTGTCTCTGAGTCCCAGCCTTGCCCCTCCCTGACCTGGGGTGTGTGTGGGGAGGCGGGGTGGGGTCCTGGATTCCCGGTGATGGGGCCAGTGCGCTCTCTGGTGGTCAGAGAAGGAATGGCTTGAAATTGCCACTGAAATGAAGCGACAAGGTGGCCAGCTGTCAAGTCCCTGTCCCTAACCTCTTGGCATTCCAAACCCTTCTCACACAGGCTCCA